CGAAGGGGGTCGGGCAGACGTAACTATGTGTCTCTTGTGATGGGAATTCGAAAATGTCGATTCTTGCGTGGTGATATGAGAATGAGATTGGGAATAGTTACCTGAGTCTGTAGCCGTGTCAGACCACGGATCCATAGAATTTGTCCTGCGCGCGGCTTTTTATCCGAGTCTGGGTCGAATTTCTCGTCTCCTAGATTGATTGCACCGATATCATCCGGCTGGCCGCGGCCCCATCTGTTTTTAAAAACATTAAACCAGTTCTTCATCACTCGGTCCTTGTTACAATGCATTTTTTTGCGCTTTTTTTCAATTCCCGATGGCGGCCCTCTCTCGCCCCTCCTCAACGGCGCACTCTGCACGACACCACCGCCACCTATTCCTCTTATCACACGATTATATCTCCTTTCTCAAAATTGCATTTCTTTTTTTTTTTTCGTTTTACCTTTCACTGGATTCCACGCATGCCTTTGCTCTCTTTTACTTCCGGTTTTCGTTTTTTGTTTTTATCCCGCCAGATAGCGCGCGCGATAGAATCCTCAATTTTTCTTTTCGTCGGTTGGGTTATCTTTTTTTTTCCCCATTGGACACTTTTTAGCCAGACTTTTTTTTTTTTTTTTTTGGTTTTCGTCAAACTTCACCGCCGCTTCCTTAAACGAGGGGCTGCGCAACGGCAACCACTTTCGGTTTCCGCGAACGATGCCGAAGACGAGGAGACGCGCGAAAGGCAAAATCGCGATCGACTCGTGTAAAGATAACGCGTCGCGGAAGCTCGAAAAGATAAAGAAAATTTTGGCTGTTTCGTAGCACTGAGTTACAGAGATAAAAGGAAATACTATATAGTTACCGATATCGCTCGCCTGCAGAGTGATGTGGAGTCAGGGACCATTTTGATTATCACTAGTGAATTAGCGATCCTGTCGATCATCTAGGATCCGTAAAGTGCGATCGTGGATCGATCGACAGGAGTAATCTAGACTAATGATCGAGCGAGTTTTTCGATGATCGAGAAAAAAAAAAGTGTCAAACCGAATCTGCTTAACGTTACTGCAAGAATCAGAGTGACAACGAGTGAAGCAATGTGTAATGACAATGCGTCGACGCAATATAATAGTATATATAGTTATTCAGGTAAACTGGATACGGGTTGTTTCAAAGTGAGCGCCATCGTCGCTTGCCAGAAAGTTTCATTTAAAAAATTGCGGATCCTGCCTCCACTGTACGATAGCAGTTCGCGCAAGTGCATTTTGCTCGGGCCATCTGCATACCGAGGTGAGCTCGTATCGAGGAGAAAATAATTATAATATTTTTCATGTACAAGGAGTCCGACGTGTCCAGTCCGATAGGCGCTTTCGAAACAATCCGTACGAAGTTGTATTGTACGAAGGTAGTGGCGAGTGTTAGCTGTCAGTATCGTGATTAGTATATAACGAACCACCCAGTAGAGCTTGAGAGCACGTTACTGTTAACCGAAAGAAAACTGTAATCGCCGGGCTGCTTTTAGGGGCGATCATTCTGTACGGCACTGCAGAGACTGAGAGACACAGAGAGAAAGATCAGAGAGACAGATGAATAGAGGGGGAAAAAAAAAAAACCAAAACAGAAAATTAAAATAAAAAGAGTAAAATCTAAATGATTTCCCATGGTTAACGCAAAGAGATACCTAAACCATTAGCGATTAGGTTTTTCGTGAAATTAAGAGTAGGGACAGCAACGATGAGGTTATGGTTCAAGTAAAGCCTTGTGTCACGTGGTCGCTCGAGTAGACGAAAGTGGCGCCATCTCGTGTTCCACGGCCGGTACTAAACTCGACGCGTTCAGTTACATCAGGACAAGTCGGGGTAGGATCGGCCTTTCAGGATCTTTCGGATTTCTCGAGTCTCGGACATATCGAACGGATTACGTTGATTCTGAACCAAGGAACTGGCGGTTAGGGAAAATTATGTTTAAGGTTGATCTTGACTCACGGTTCCTTTTCGTGTGTCGAAGGGAGGATATTTGGTCTCGAGTGTAACCTCTCGACGGTCAGCGGCGATCAAAGTAAAACGAACAGCCGTTTGTACCCACGACCACTGCGTCTTGCGTTTCGATCCTTTTTCGCGCAACTAGTCCTGCGAGAGGCCAGATTAGTTCAGGTCCGGGACTTGGATCAGAAGGACGTACTAGGAACAGGTACGGTACTGGATCGATCACGTTCTGGTTGTCCTACACGTGGAAATCGTAGTGTTCGATGGGGTGCACTTGGGATTCGGGATCTTTTCCACCTACAAAACATCATCACACTGTTTACTATGTAACGGCGAGGTTATGATCACGTGGAGCCACATTAGATTTCATGTCTATCCGTCCATCTTTACCGAGACCGAAGTTGCGTCTGGCTTTATTATTGATCAAGTTATGGAAATGAAAATAAAAAATGTAAAAAAAAACGATGAACGATTTAAATCAATTCTCATGGATTACAGGATTTTTAAAGGAATTTCGACTGCTATCGGGATCGAGACTTGTTTGCTTGACCACGTAGGATTCTCTTGTTCACGATAACCTTGTACTCGGTTCGTGATCTTTTTTTCTTTTTTTTTTTTAAATTAATAATCAACTCCCGTACAATTTATCTTTTTTTTTAGACGACGCTAAGTCTCCAGGTTCTCTTGAATGTCTTTTACCATCGTCAGGCAGCTTATGGAAAAGCCGTGTGACGCGACCGTTTACGCGCGTCGCACGTGAAACAAACCGTCGGGACGCTGGGCGCTCATTTCTATCATACAAATACGTGGAGGTCGAGACGGTTTTAACTCATGCAACATCTAGTGTGGATGAAAAGTAGACGTGGAAGATACGGTTTCTTTGACTTTTGTTCAACGGACCGGAAGTGGACGTGTATAGAGGAAGAAACCGACGGATCGGGGAAAATAAAGTAAAGGAAACGGAATGTCAGTAATACGCGCGACTAGTTCACTTTTTTTTTTTTTTTTTTTTTTATATATAT